GTCTGTTCAGGTTTTCACTTGTTACATAAGAGCAGTGACTTCCAAGCTCCTTATGCACAATGAGAAACATGCTAAATTTTTATTTTTTTTTTTTTTTTTAAAGATTTTATTTATTTATTTGAGAGAGAGAGAGAATGAGAGATAGAGAGCATGAGAGGGAAGAGGGTCAGAGGGAGAAGCAGACTCCCCGCTGAGCAGGGAGTCCGACGTGGGACTCGATCCCGGGACTCCAGGATCATGACCTGAGCCGAAGGCAGTCGCTTAACCAACTGAGCCACCCAGGCGCCCCCATGCTAAATTTTTAAATAAAAAAAAAAAAAGCAAACTTTACCATTACTTAACATTATGATGCCGGTTTAAACGAATCGTTTTCATGCATTAACCAAAATAACAAAGGCGTACTTTTAAAAGGAGACTGGAAAGCTTTTATAAGACAAGGAAGTTCCACTCTGAAAACAGTAGGGAAAGAGTGGTTTTGTGGAATAAGCTGTGAACTACTTCTCGTTAGCCGTAGGCTGTAAGCTGAGCCTGCCTGCATGCTGGCTGGGCAACTGGGGGAGCGCTGGTCACCCTCGAGTCTAGTGTCCTCCATCTGAGGATAGGGGCACATCCCACAGGCTCATGGTGAACGCGGAGGACCTGCATCTGTATATTCATAACTATTTTTGAAAACTCTAAAACATTTAAATTTAACATGGAATTTTGCTATTAGTATTTAGCAACTTCTTATTGTAAAAGCAATACACGAAATATGGCAAGTGAATTTATTCCTAAATATTTACAGATATTTGAGTCGGACCTTGGACGTTGTATCCTGGAGCTGGTGACAATTTGCCAATAACAATTTCTACTTTGCCCAAATCTATAACAACCATATGTGAAGTTTTTAATGTCTGTGTATTTATTTATGCCATGCTGACATAAAACATGAGGTTTCTGAATGTGAGACAGACTACTAGTGACTCGCTGCACATCTTCGGGCTGTTTCTGGGCGCGGACCCCACAGGTGGTGCGGTGAGCCCTGACGTGCTCTGCACAGACAGAGGTTTGAGAAGGGAGGGGACCCGTGGCCCAAGAGAGAGACTGTACCTCACTGGCCATGTAAACAAGGGCTCTCTTGGGAGAGGAGAGGCTGCTGCTCATCACCCTGTCGAATGAGACCAGATCTCTCCAGAAGGCAAATGTCCCTGACCAGTCACTATCTCTGTACCCACTTATCCGTCCTTCCTCCCAGGGGAGTTTGCTCAGAAAGCCTGACCACACTCACAGAGCCTGAGTCAGAATACTTGAATACATTTTCAGAAGGTCCAAAGATTCTCTGACAAATAATTTAGGAAGAGCTGAAAGAGAAAGTCCTATATTCAAGGATGGTTTCTGAGCTCCCTCAAGACGAGGCAAAGGGATGACATTGAAGCAAAAGAGGGAAAAGAAGAACAGAGGGCTGGAAGAGAAATGGGGGAGGGGAGGTCCATCGGCATTTTCCGGCTCGGATGGGTGTCCGGTGCAGAGGAAGCAGAACCCAGATTTGGGGGCTGGCCTAGCTCTCCCAGGCTCTGGGAGGTGCTCCCAAGTGTGGATTAAAGCCAGGATAATTCTCATCACTCTGCTCTTCTTCCTGCCAGCCTGTTATTTCTGACTTGCAAATTGGAATCTGAGAAAATGTGAGCTGCTCATGTTTTCAAGCATCATTAAAATGTGTTAATAACAGTCAATTTTATAGCATCTTACAGCATTAACAAATTTTGTAGCAGTTACCCGTGAACATGCAGGAAATATTAGAGGCGATTTTAAGAATGTCAATTAGGCAAATATATTCTATCATTTATTTTTTTTTACCTGAAAAGAAATAATTTAAGATTTGTAGAGTGAAGAAATATTAGACAATTGTATATCAAATACAGAATTATTCTGTGTCACCTCTGGGGCTGCAGTGAAAGTGTTCCACAATAATATCAAAAGATGCCAAGATATTACACCTTATAGTCTAAAATTTCTGCAACGTTTCAAGTCAGATATGGTCCCATAATATAGAAACTGTCAACTCTCATGACTTGGGAAAAGTAGCAATGGCATGTGGTTACAAATGTTCACTCTTGTTGCCAAGTCTGATTACTCCCTTTTCGATGCCAGCTGGTTGGAAAAACTGAGGTGTCAGCATGGGTCATTTTTCCTTTTCCTGATTTCTGAGTCATCAGGAATGAGCGTAAGGATCAAGGGATCACATCCCATTCCCGTCCCCTGGAAGCACTTATCCAGAGACAGGCAGGTGTGGTGATGGCTCCGAATGCCAGTCTGCATCCCTCTGTCACTATCAGGAGATCTTAGCCCTCCTGAGAAACCAGGCAGATTGCTCACACTGGCTGCATCGGAGGACCTCCGATGTAAGGAGTTTACGTCAGGGAGTATCTAGTTTGCAAAGCAAGGAGTTCTGACTGAATATGCATCTCTGTGTAAATAAGGTCTTCCTAGTTCACTCTCCATCCTTCCTCCCCTCTGCCGTCTGTCTGTCTGCCTTTCCTTGTAAAAGGGGTCAGGCTTTTTACCCTTGGATTGTTCTCTTAAGACATCACCACAAGAGAGTCATCACTGGCGCATATTTTTAAGACAAAGTTCTGATCAGGTCGGGCTGAGGTGGGACCTGAGATTCTGCATTTCTAGCAAGCTCCCAGGTGATGCTGATGCTGCTGGGTCACGTGGCCTCACAATTCAAGAGCCCTTTTTAATACATCAATAATAAATTTACTTGAAAGTCAAGATCTCTGAGCCCCATGCCACACTTGCTAAATCTGAATCAGATGATGCCAGGAACATGCCGCATAATGGGCTTCGCAGGTGATTCCTGGCTGTGCTCAGGTTTAGTTCAAAACTCTAGGAACGTCTGCTTCAGAAATTTCATCCCATCACTGACCACTGTCAGTGAACTTTTTGAACTTTGTATTTACCTTCTAATTGTATATATGTGGGTACACACACAGGATATGATTTTTCACTTCACTAACTTAGTAGATGCTGATCATGCTGTCTCGGGAATGACCACGTCCTAAGTCATCCCAGCCTGTGAGGTGGTTGGGTTTAGTGTTGGGTTGAAACAGCCCAGACAGTTTCCAGAGCTGTAACTAATTTATAAAAGGGGAAAGGAGCCCGGAAGGGCATCATGGATATTTTGGAGGTAATTTGCGTCAAACAGAAACAGGAATACTTTGTGCTTTTTCTGAATCAGAGAAGCATTCATGTAGCACAGCTTGAGGACGGCAAACCCACACACTGACGTGAGCCTGCATAGTGCCAGGTCACAGCAGTGAGGAAGCTAGTAAGGGGGAGCATTCTGAATAATGTAATTTTTTTCTTTGTATTTTCATGATTCTTCAAAAATAAGCAGCATCGTTGTAACTAGAAAAGTTAAAAATTGTGTCCACGTTCATCCTGTAGCCTCGAAGCTCCACTATACCCCAGATCACCTTCCAGTTATCACTCTGACCTTCTCGTTTATATTCTACCTTTTGCATTTTTAATCACAGGAGTAAGGACTTGACTCTGGGTCAGTTGGTACTAAGTGGCCACATGTCCCTGTGATTCTTGTGTCATTAACTCTTTGGTGAAATGTTCCGAGGTGATGGGTTTGAAGTGCCTGATCGGCTCCCTGTGTTTCTATAGCGGAGTGATTCCAAGAAGGTTACCACTTAGTACATCAAGTGCTTTCAGCGTTTCAGAGACACCGTGAACCGCGATTAGTCCACTTAGTACATCAAGTACTTTTAGCGTTTCAGAGACACCGTGAACCGCGATTAGTCCACTTAGTACATCAAGTGCTTTCAGCGTTTCAGAGACACCGTGAACCGCGATTAGTCCACTTAGTACATCAAGTGCTTTCAGCGTTTCAGAGACACCGTGAACCGCGATTAGTTTCATTTTTTATTTGTATGTTTCATGGCTGGAAAGTAAGTGCAGGGTGAGCAATAAAAACCAGATTTGTTACAGTGTTGACCATTTCAGATTTTATGTGTGAAATATTCTAGTGTAGAGATCATACATGTGATGTGAATTGTCAGCCGTGACAGCACTCAAAAATCAGATGATTTGGGACACCTGGGTGGCTCAGTCGGTAAAGCCTCTGCCTTTGGCTCAGGTCATGTCTCAGGGTCCTGGGATCGAGTCCCGTATTAGGCTCCCTGCTCAGGAGGGAGTCTGCTTCTCCCTCCCCCTCTGCTGCTCCCCCTTCTTGTGTATGCACACACTCTCTTTCTTTCTGTCAAATAAATAAAATCTTTAAAAAAAATCAGATGATTTGATCATTATTATTGTTAAAATAGTTGTAAAACGCAATGTCAGGCCAATCAAAAACACGTTCAGTTAAATTGATGAGCTAATAAGTTTGTATTATTCCTGGAATGGAACAGACTAGTGAGTTTAGTCCTAAATCACAAGACTGGACACACACACTTCAGGTCACATTCCAGCAAACACACAGACTCAAAGCATGCTCATACACAAACTAGTCACCCTCCTGAGTTCTCTCAATTTGACCTAAAATTCCTCCTTAATTCAGTGTCAATCCAAGTCAGTGTAGAATCCAAAATGAATTCTACAGCTGTACCCGAATGCGTGTGATAGATGAGCCCCTACCTTACCAGCTTGTGCCATGCCGCAACGGAGGTGAGCACAGGTCACTCTCAAATCCACAGCCACGTGAAAGTTTAGTGCTCCTACCATCCTACTCACAGCTTAGAATTCAGTTAAGGTAAAGACTCACTCCATTGCTGTAAATGTTTACAATTATCCAATTAAAAGTAGCATGTTTGTTTTCATGTATACTTAATAATCTTTCCATCTTTACTGAGGTATCACTGACAAAACTGCAGGATCTCTAAAGTGTACAGTGCGGTAGTTTGATGTGTGCGTACACCCTACACTGAAGTGACATGCCCATTATCTCACATAGTTACCTTTTTTTAAGTAGGAGAATGCTTGCGGTTTATGTGTATGTTTTGTATTTCTTACAGGTTAGCATGTTAGACTGGGTACAAGCAGAAAAAACCTACAACCTCTGTGAGGTACTGTTTAAACTTCACAAGGTAGGTGTTCTTTGCACATGAGTGCTTTCATATAAATAAGATGTGCCTTTGGGCTCAGAGTCCATTGAAGTAGTAAGATAACCTGAAAATCTTCTGTATTCATCTCATTTTCCCATCCTCAAAGTTGCCATCCTGTTGTTCATAAAGGTGGATGGGTGGGTCAGTAGGCAGATGGATGGGTGGATGAGTGGATGGGTGGGTGGATGGGTTGATGGATGGGTGGGTGGGTGGGTAGATGTGTGAGCAGATGGATGGGTGGGCAGATGGATGGTGTGTGCACAGGTGTGTATGTGCACATGTACTGGAGAGGGTATTTTAGTTGCCTCCACTTACAGTAATATGTTCAGAATCTTTGGTTATTATTGTCCTTGTCATTGTTTTTAATATATCAGATACAAACTTGAGTCCTAACAGCTTTCTTATCAGCCACTGAGCTGACCAGAATGGCTGATCAAATAGTTGCCTCCTATTATAGGGAAAGTACTCTCACTGGCTAAGGAAGGGCAAAGTGTTACCTGTAACACGCATCCCAAGCTTTTGGTATCATCCATCCAGTTTAGTTGAACACTTCCAAAGTAGGAATCCATTGCAGCAGAATCAGTTCTCAGTTTCTGCTGGGCTGACACCTCCCCCGGGGCATGTGAGGTTGGGGGCGAGGATCAGGGCTTCCCATGAGTCCTGATGGGACTCCTGCTTGCTTGCAGTGGTCGTGTGTTGCTAGATTGGAGATGAAGGCAACTGGGTGAATGTGCATTCCGCCAAGTTGCACAAGCCTCGGAGACACAGTTATCCCATTGGTGGACTTTTAGCAGATCTCAGGCTAGTAGAGAATTCTTTAAAACACTAAATTATACAAAAAGGTTGGGAAGTGGAACCTGAGATGGAAAATGTGGGGAAGAAAGTCAGTCCTGGTCACTGAGCTGGCTCAGGTGAGGGCAGATGGTCCCTGGGGGAGTCAGTCCCCCACCTCCCTGGCGACCTGGGGGCAGTTGTAACGGGCCCAGGCCTGCTCCCAGCTGTGGCTTGTGCCCAGGTTGCTTGGGAGGCCACGTGTCTGGCCTCCGGTCACTGCTCAGGGAGAACCCAGGACTGTCACCACCCATCATGGGGGCAGAGCCACAGGCAACTGGCCCTTAGCCTGCCGGGCGCAGACTGCTGAGATCAGGCCGGCCCACAGTGTACAGGCAGTGGGGGGGTGGTTGAGTGCCACTGAGGGTTTGTGGTTGTGTGTGAAGCGCGTGTTCTAGAGTTCAGTGCGCTATCGCTTCTCGGCCTTTTGGCTAAGATCAAGTGTAGAGTTCGATGGGCTGACTCCACCCCTTGAAGTTTTACTTGATTCCTTTACACCTCAGTTACGTCATCTGCAGAATGAAAGCAGTACTGGTATTCTTTGTTGTACGATCCTCTCTGCAGGATTGTGTTAATTCATTGTGATGCTGTCGCTCTGGCCATAGTGAAGTCCTCACTCAGCACAGCCTCCTGGGCATGTGTGAGGTCCCTTCCAGTCCAGGGCATCCCAGGAGCTGGGACTCACCAGCACCGCGGTCCGGGACAGTGTGCTGCTGGTGACTACGTCTTATCCTACGGGAAGTCACCTGGTGGGAGCTTTAACACAAAGCTAAAGATTCCGTCTTATATGAGATGTGGTCCACACATCTGTCTTCATTCTTTAGGCTTCCATGGTGATGTTATCATGCAGCTAAATCTCAAAACTACTAGTGCGTGCCAGGCAGTGTTTGTGGCTTGACGCGTCCTTGTAAATAAACACCATTTTATTGCACTAACAAATCCCTTTGAGTCATTAGATACTAAGCTAGATAGAACCTCAGTGATCAGAGGTGGTGTTGTACTAACACCCTTAACAAAGCCGTGAGGATAGTAATTGGTTGTAATGCTAGTAGTGATCATATTTACTTATATCGCCTTCACATGTTTCCTCTTCACATGCTGCCTTTTCACTTACTTATCTTTCTGCAGTAGTTGAAACTCATTCGCTCAATTATTAGTTCATGCGTGAAAATTAAAGTCCCAGAGAGAGAGCTGCCTCTGTGTTGGTGATCTATTTTTTGGGAAACAAATAACCCAAACACTTAAATGTATAGAACGACACACATTATCCCAGCCCCTGGGGGCCAGGCGTCATCCATCTCACTGTTGCACACAAGGTGAATCAGGATTTCAGCCTACGCTCTGTGGTCCCGGCCAAACGCAGCACAGGGGAATTTGGTTGCTGGAAGATGCTGGACTGGAGGGTGCGGCGCCTTGCTGGAGGCTGCCCTCTGATCCTAGCCAGGTGGCACGCTCCATCAGAGACAACCCATCATTTCTGCCATATTCTGTGGTTAGAGCAGGGCACTAAATGCATATAACATATGACACGTGACATGTATGTATCATATGTATGATATCTAGAAATATACATGCGGGCGGAGACCAGGTGATGCCCACCATACAGTGTTGGCTGTAGCATGACAGGGAGCAGACTGCACTTGGCCAGACTGTGCTTGTTGCTGAGGAGGCCGGTGTGCAGGGTGGGGACATCTGGTCGACCTGTGGGCTTCAGTGAGCTCTCAGAGGTGAGTCATATACCCTGTGGAGTAAGGCTGTCTCTACACTTCTCTGAAAAGACCAACAGCAAGCCTTGACCACGTTATCAGGGGCATGAGTTTGGGAGTTGTGCCCAACCAGCTAGAAGCTTCCTTTGTTTTGGGGATATATCCATCAAGGACTGATTTCTTCCAGCAGCAAGGAGTCCAGATGGAGAGCTTTGACTCCACGGTAAATGAGGCACAGGCCTGAAATACAAGCCAGGAAGGGTTTGTCCTGTGTCCCAGTGTAGGAGGGCAGTGTCCCCTGCATAGAACCCCCCGTGTCCTTCTCAACTATGCAAATCCAAATAGGAAGTCTGTGTCTAAGTCAAAAGCTAAAAATATACCTGATGGAATTTTTAGTGTGTTTTGTCTGAGAAGATGATCATTAATCAAAAATTAGAAGTTTTGAATGAAAATTTAATGTTTTAAATTTTGGTTGGCCTCCTTAAATATCCTCAAAAAGAATTTTAAATTTAGATCTGGAATTTTAGGCTGCATGTACTAGTAATACACACAAGGGAAACACATTCCCATAATACTATCATCAAAATGCTAAAAAAAATTAATGTTTTGAAGCTGTTCTCATGACAATTCTTACGTGTAGACTTTTATTCATCGATATTCCAAAAAAAAGAATTTTATAGAAAGATCTAATGTCTTTTATCTTTTTTTACAAAGGCTCCTCACTGTCCCATTTTGGCCTTTTTATCACCTTGTTTATATGGCTTTCCACATGTCAGAGGTGTGGTTTTGGTATTGGGATATCTCCGAAGGATCATCCTTTTGTGTGGATGTTCTTCATTAATAAACCAGACAGCTGTTTCTGTTTTTATCCAGCATGTTTCCCAGGAAGACTGAGGGAAAGTCTTCATCAGTACACTTGTTATGAAGCGATTATGAAACCATTAAATTAGCCAGGAGACCAGCTACAGCACGAGGTCAAACTTACAGGGCGCAAGTGGTAACAGTAAAGACAATTCTATAGCACTTAACAGTTTTAAAAAGGAGGTTGTATTCTGTAGGTCAAGTGATGTATTTGGAAGTCTTAAATAGTGATCTCACAAAATGATATCTCCTTTTGTGCACACCTTTAATTGTTGCGGAAGATCATCCTGCACACATACACTCAAAATTATCCATCAGCATTTAACTCATCTTTCAAAGAGTAAAGTAAGTGAATGATTATTCTAAGAACTGGTACGCAGGGCACAGTGTTTTAAAATGACCATTTCCAAGGACAGTCATCAGTATGTGGTCCAGGAATTAAGTTTCATAGTTGTAGTTTTGTTTTTCTGACTTTTTTCTCTCCAAAGATTACCTTTTCTGATTCTTAGATTACTGATTACTGATTCTTAGATTACTTCTTAGATTACTTCTTCTGATTCTTGTTGTTCTCTATTTCAACTCTCATTAGAAAATAGATGAGAAAATTACATCAGTCAGCTTTGGTTGCAGAAGAGACATAAACTGTGCACAGCTCCCGGAGAGCAGCTAATAAAGGTGCCGTCCAACAGTGAGGAGCATCCTGCAGGAAAGTAGATGGATTTTCCTCTCAATATAAGAATATTCCGTTTAAAATTTTCAGTAAACTTAAGCTTACTCATATGTTTAGCAGAGGATCTAGATAGTAATGTCTGCTTTTGGGGAGTGCCTCCGGGAGCCTTGCTGAACACCCCATTTACTTCTGAGCCAATCCTCATTATCTTCCCCCACAGCTCAGAGCTCAGAAGCACAGGGGAAGTAACTCCCCGGAACCTCACTGGAGGCTGGATGGGACCCAGGTTTGCTTGGCTTCCAGCTGATCTTATATCCTATTCTATTTCACTTGTTGGAAGCATCATGTTCAGGAATCTCTCTGAAGTCTTAAGAGTTTTCTAACCCACTCTCCATCACCGGCAAAGCAGTGGGTTTCTGTAGTTGGGATTCCCAGGGAAGGGGGTTCTCAGTAAATGTCCTGAAGTCCCTCTCATCAGAGGAGAGCTTGCAGGGAACAGCAGGGAAGACTTTGCAGTTGGCTCAGCTGCATTTCAGCAAAGGGCAGGGGGTCTCTAAGAGCTGGGGGGCCAGTCAGGAGAGGAACTCTGAGCCAACTGTGGGACCCAAAGTAAAAGTGAGCTGTCTCTCTCTTTGAGTAGGCTTTAGTTTTGCAAGTGGAAGCAGACCCAGAGACATGGGCCTCCTGCATGGCATGGAGGCCTGAAGGCAGGGGCACCATGTTCCTTGATGTCTGCATTCCCAGGGGAAGGCTCCAGGTCCCCAAGAAAGACAAACCTGGGCTGTGGACTTGGCAGCAGGCTCTTAACAGGGTTTGCATCTCAAAGGGATTTATAATTAGGTTTTTAATGCAGATGCTCTGTGGATAGGAGACTGGGAAGAGGTCTAGGGGAGCCCGAGCTGTGTCAGAGCAAATCACTGACCTCACGTTGACTGAGTTATTATTTCAAAAGAGTGCTACTAGGAAACAACGGGAATGAGCCACACATGGAGCATAAGGTCAGTTACATCATATTAATAGCACATTATTTGTTGTGAGGCTGAACAGCTTGTGTTACAGAAAGTAAAGACATCTCTGAAATCCTTTCGTGTTCTCTCGTGGGATTTCTCAGGTTGTTCAAAAGCTATTTTTAGTTCCTCCTGTTTCTTACATACAGAGCTCAGCTCACTAGTTTGAGTAGTAGACACATTACTCCTTGAAATTCCTCAGAATTGCTCTAAATAAGTAATTCAAAAGAGTCAAATCGCTATGTGGGTGAAAATATTTAATGTGAGGTGGATCTTAGCTCACACTGACCGTCCCTGCTCAGCATTGCCTTAAAGACAACGTGCTTTTGTGCAAACCCTTAATGACCTGGTGTGAGCCAAGGATGTGTGTGCCATGTGCAGCCTCCTCCTTATGTCTGCATTTGAAAGTTCAAAAACAGGCTCAGAGAGAAGTAAATGGCCGAGGTCAACAGCCAATATTTGGCAGAGGAAGGTTTCAGGTCTTGACGCATCTCAAGCCCTTGAAACTACGGGCTCCCCAGTTATCCCAGTGACAGGAGAGAACGGGACTGGCCATCCCACTGACCTCCGCACTGGACAGACGCTTCCTGAGGGGTCGTCTTTGGTCATCAGTCTTTGACGGTTACACTCAGTAGTTACAGACAGAATTTCTGTAAGGGTACTTGCTATTCTTGGTTTACGACATGTCATTTTATTTACTGAATAGCTTCTGTTTCCCAGGCTGAAGTGAAGGACCCGGGGGGCTCCAAAATCCAGGTGTGGTCTGTGTTCCCAGGTTCATTTTGAATGAGGAATGCAGGCACAGTGCACAGGCCACCCACGCACACCCACGCACACGCACACATGCACACCCATGAGGCAGGAGGTGTCTGGCCTTGTGGAGGAATTCATGCTGCTGGGCACCAGCCGCGGGCAGACAGCACAGAGGGCAGTCCTGCACAGACACAGACATCCATAGGCCAGCAGGAAGTCAGGGCCCAGAGCCCACGAGCCACCTGCGCATATCAGCCATCACTCTGACCTGCAGACTGGTGCCCAGAGAGCATAAGAAGCATGTGGCCAATGACCACGTTCATGTGCATTTGGGGAACTAACTGAACATATGTGTGAATGGGGTGTGTCTGGCTTGGCTGGATGGCCCACCTGGATCAAAATATCTCAAAATCACAGTGAGAAGCCCCATACTGGGCAGCTGGGGTCATTCCTGCCCCCACACTTGAGTGGCAGTAAACACGGTCCCGCAGGCCGCCCAGCATCCCTGGAAAGGATGTCTGCCCTCTGTCCCCTTTGCTGGACAATGTGGTGCTGGCCGAGCCCATGCAGAGGAACAGTGTGGGGCAGTGTGGGCACGTTGGGGTGTGCACTCCTGTGTGCGCGCGTCCTCCAGTGTGTGTGTGCACCTGTGTGCATGTGTCCTCCAGTGTGTGTGCACCTGTGTGTGCGTGCGTGTCCTCCAGTGTGTACATGCATGTGTGCACCTGTGCACGTGTGCGTGTCCTCCAGTGTGTGTGCGCTTGTATGCAACTTTGTGCGTGCGCGTCCTCCAGTGTGTGTGCACGTGTGTGTGCGAGTGCATGGGTCCTCCAGTGTGTGTGTGCGCACCTGTGTGCATGTGCACGTGTCCTCCAGTGTGTGTGCACACGTGTGCACCTGTGCGCACGTGTCCTCCAGTGTGTGCACTTGTTTGCACGCATGCGCATGTCCTCCAGCATGTGTGCGTGTCCTCCAGTGTGTGTGCACAAGTGTACACCTGTGTGCGTGCGCGTGTCCTCCAGCGTGTGTGCGCATGTGTGCACGCATGAACGTGCGCCCTCCAGGGAGCGTGTGTGTGCATCTGTGCATGCGCGTGTCCTCCAGTGTGTGTGCGCGCGCGTGTGTGCACCTGTGCGCACGTGTCCTCCAGTGTGTGTGCGCATGTGTGTACCTGTGCACACGTGTGTGTCCTCCAGTGTGTATGTGCTCCTGTGCGCGTTCGTGCGTGTGTCCTCCAGTGTGCATGTGCACATGTGTGCACCTGTGTGTGCGGGCGCATGTCCTCCAGTGTGTGTGTGCACTAGTGTGCATCTGTGTGCACATGCGTGTCCTCCAATGTGTGTGCGCGAGTGTGCACCTGTACACGCGTGGAAAGCATATTGGAGGGGTGGCTGTGGGCCAGCAGGCAGCCCACACGGGCAAGGAGAGCAGACACTGGCCAGGCACCGCCCCGCCGCCCACAGCTCCGCACACCGGATCTCTGAGACCAGTGTGGGCTCGAGCCGCCCGCAGCGTCTGCTGTGTCCGTAAGGGACTCAGGAAGGAAGTGCAGCCGCAGGGTCACTCTGCTCTGACCTTCACTCTTAAAGGTGTCTCTAGAGTGTTCATTCTATGCGGTCAGGACCACTGGGTTAACGTTTGTCAATCCTGAGTGAGGGTCCTGCTCCTGCAGCCTCTGAAGTATTGTGAGCAGGGGGTCCTCTTCCTCGGGACAGAGTTAGGTGGTGGGGGGCGCTGCGGTGCCCTGGGAGCTCATGGTCACTTCTGGTAAGTGCCCGTGTTGTCTTCATTGTTCACTGGTTTTATGCCAAACTGGAGCACGAAGGTCTCCTGACTTTATCTCTGTTTTTCAAGTGAAACACTGAAGAAGCAGCTGTGGTTACCAGAATTTTAAGTGAAAGGTGCTTTTGGCTGTAATTTACTTAAAATTGTGTTTATTTGGGGCCAGTTTCCCCAGCAGCCATGTCGGAGGACAACCTGTTCCTTAATGTGCCCCCAGGTGTGGCTGGCTGGGGTCACAGCAGTCCCCCGCGGGCTGGCAGCCAGGTCCCATTCTTGACGGTTCTGGGGCATCTGCAGTGTCAGGTCCCGGCCCTCAGTGGGGACCCCCATCCCCCGCTAACACGCTGCCTGCTCTGTTTTCCAGTTCTGGCTCACTGAGGATTGCTGGCTGCATGCAGACCTCGGCCTGGGGCCTCGCAGCCTTGAGGACACGTGGCCCTACTGCTTCAGTGTCCTGGTCGGCCATGGCCAGAGTCGCCTGTTCAGCGTGGAGCTGGGGAGTGAGCTGGCTGCGTGGGAGAGGTCTTTCCAAAGAGCTACTTCCATGGAAGTTCAGAGAACCGGGGTAAGCAACTCCCAGCTTTTGAGGGGAGACCTGTGTGGATGCCTGACCTTGCAATTCGGTGTTCAGACATTTGTTCCAGAAAGAAATGAATCTTTTAAAGTTGAGCGTGCTCCCCTGGGTCACCAGGTCCAAGCGAGTGTGTTTGGCTGGTGACGGGGTCACGATGCGGAGGAGTGAGGGGGTTTGCATCTCTACATGTATGTGCGGGGAGGGCCACTTGCTTCCCTCCATGGGGCTCAAGGGACAGCACACCCATGTTCCTGTTTAGCCAGGCTCCGACAGACTATTCTCTGCAGACAGCGCATGAATAATCCGCTGTGAAGAAACCTGGGTAAGGTCACGTTATGGCATGCAGTGACCCTTCCTCTGCATCTTAGTGATCCAGAGGAGAATATAGACTGCACCTTGTCAGGACAGCAGATGAATCACTCACACACTTGGATATGTGTCGATGGAAAGCGTCAGGAAGAAGGTATTTCAATCCTTATCATCATGAACAGCAGGATCCCCTTCATGGGGAGGCCACCCTATAAATCAGAGGCAAGAAATGCATCAGGGAGGGGACTTAGCCACCCAACAGCGCTGGGCTCATCCAGCCTCGCGTCTGTAACCCTAAGGCTGTGAGCTCAGCCACGGAAAACTGCCCCCTCCCTCAGACACGTGTGTGTGGAGTGGGAAGATCCCGGGTTACCATCTGGTCTCCTGGTTGGTGCACTGGCCGCCACAGGCCTGGGGGCTTCCCTGTGAGTGTTTAAGCATCACCGCCACCCATGGGTCCACGTGATGAGGTCACACTCAGATGTTTTGTGGAGACCAAACGTCACAGTTTCTTCTGCGACCCTTCTCTTGAGTGGAGCAGGGCGTCCTGGATGGAATTCGGTTCTGAAGCTCACGGTAACCCGCTTGCTGCAGGCGGGTGTGGGAGGGTCCTCAGGCACCAAACACCAACTCCCTGATCTCGGGGACCTGCTTGGACTTGTAGCAGCTGTGAGCAGCTCAGACCCCCTGAACACAGCTGAAGTCTCAGAGCGCGAGTGACAGCCCTTGTTGGCCCAGGTGAACTTTATGTTCTTACCTCAGGCAAGTATCACTCTGTGGTGTCCACGGCTGTGCTGAAAGCAGGGGGCTGTTTGAGCCCCTGGGGGAGACACCCTCCAGGAGACACACCATGATGTCCCGCAGTAGAGGGAGGCTGCAGGACCCACTCATCCCATGCCCGTCGTAACACAACGAGGGTCCCAACCATCCTGTGTGGATTCCATTCTCTCTTCTCCCTTCCTTGTGTCCAGAGCAAGGGGTCAGGGCTCGGGGGCACCGTGCTTTCATAGCCAGAAATCCCTCCAGAAGAAGTGGCTTCTCCCTTTGCAGAGTCCTTGGTACTTGGGGCAAGTAGGAAGGAGGGAGGCCAGGGGGCAGTCTGTAGAAGAGAGGATGTGAAGTCTGAATTAGGACATGGCGGGCATTGTGCCCGGCAAGCTCTGGGGGAAGCATTTTCAATTATCCAGGATCAAGACGAGGATCTCTTCGTGGGTAGAGGGGGCGAGGATGAGTGTGGTCCTGATGGTGACCATCCGGTGACACGAATAACGGACCGGCTTGTGCCACGGGTGCTCCTGGAGAGAGTGGGATCTCCTTGTGCAGGAGGGAAAGGTCACACAAGGCCTCCCAAATCTGAAAATCCTCATACCCACTTGAGCCTTTCCAAGACACGATCCCATGGGGTTTCCTCGCACCCAGGTGCTGACGTCCAGTGCCGGAGCCTCGGTTTTCTGGACTCGGAGGTGGGAAGGAAGGAGGATATCCTTTGGAAAGTGGTGGATCAAGTCTTGGCCTGACCTGTTTCTGCCTCTGTGAACGTGGGCAAAATAGTTCTCCAAACACCTCTACTTAATCTGTAAATTAAGGATTAGAGTATACACACAAGAGCCGTTATGGAAACTATGATAATTTTAACGTGTGCTCTGTGCCAAGCTGTGTGCTGTTTGTGTGCACTGTTAATCTTTTAAAGTAAATCTAAGATGTGATACTGTTTTTTTTTCCTTTCCTTTCACTGATGAGAAGACTCAGTTTGCAAGGACTGAGTGGCCCCTTCAAGGTCACCCAGAGATGAGCCACGTGACCAGTGACCAGCCCCACCCCGCCCCTGTGCCGAAGCAGGCTTCTCGACTGCTTAGCGCTGCCACCCCCATCCTGCGTCTGCTTGATTCAGCAGCTTCTCTTCTGTGTTCAGACTTTGATTTGACCCCAGCCCAAGATCCCAGCTTTAAAGTTCGACAAGGTTTACCTGTTTATAATTTGGACGACACTGGTTTCCTTCTCTGTGTTCAGCAGGCTGCAGGCCTTATTCGTGCTTCTCCATAAGGATTTCTGAAAGAGAGGTCTGGATTTACACTCAGGGCATGTTTCTCCCCAGTAGTTTCTCAGTGCACCTTATCTGGGCTCAGTGTTGTAGAAGCTGGATGCTTGCCTCCTGCCCAGCTCTAGCTCAATGACGTTTTTAAACTAATAATATTTTAAATCATACTTACATTACAAATCTCTTGTAGGCACCTGAAATCCAGGTGTCCTGCACACGCACGACTGAGTGGAGAACTTCCTTGGTTGGAGCGTCTGGGTGGCTCAGTCGGTTAAGCATCTAACTCTTGGTTTTGGCTCAGGTCTTGATCTCAGGGATGTGAGACTGAGCCCCGAGTCGGGCTCCACGCTCAGCAGAGTCTGCTGGGGATTCTCTCTCTCTCTCCCGCTGCACCCCCTCGTGCTCATGCTCTCTCTCTTTCAAAAATAACAAAGAACTTCCCTGGTTGTGCCCGCTGTACCGCCCCCAGGCTCGGGTGCAAGGGCGGGTGTCGTGTTGTACATTCTTCAGATGGTTTTACACAGATGACAGCACCGTTTTTTCTTTCTTACTAAAAACGTATTCATCACGTGCGCATAATGCTTTGTAATGTGCAAATGCTGTACATTTTATGCACATCGATTCATCTGATTTTTCTTTTACTTATCCCAGCAACACCCTCTTAGAATTTAAGAAAAATAGAAAATCTCTTTCCTCATCATGACATGCGGTACCAAGTCTCTGCATCCGGCCGGCTGCCTGTGGCCACAGTGGCAGGAATCCCCTGCCTGGCGCTACGACGCACTGGGGCTGTAACCTTCCCGATAACAGGGCTTCCCGCAGACGCACCAGCTCTTCCCATTGCCACCCCACCGAGCTTGGAGTTTCAGATGTTTGCTTAGAACGCCTCCCCTCCTGGTTGTGGATGCAGCGGCCTTCTGTTCGCCCTCCCTGGAGGAGGGCGCTTCTCCCCCAGCAGTGGGATGACCGTAGCGTCCCTCCTTGGGTCTGATTTTGCCAGATTACGTCATGAACCCAGTGGATTAACATGCTTGTCGGGGAATGCTGTCTGCTGACCAGTGTCCACTCTGGGGCCAGGGGTGCGGTTAACCTCCCTCCAGGGTAGAAGAGGGGTGGACACCTTAAGCTCAGTTAGAGGAAGTGATTACCAGCCAGCGACAGGGGGTTGGTGGCTGGTTTATTTCAAGATGACTCAGCCGTTCTCACTGGTGCCGTATAAGAAATGAAGTGACATCTATGTAGGCAGCCCCTGAGTCACCGGAGTGTGACCACGTCCGTGAAGGGTTACCTCAGTCATGACTCCCTGTGTTCCAGACATCGTGTCCTTCCAACAGGAGATCTTCCAGTTCCAGCCACGTTTAGGGGTCACTTATCCCATGCTGTCACCTGCGGGTGGGGCAAGTGTGAGCGCCACCCACCCAGTGTGCGCTGGGGACTGTCGCCATGTGGGGGACCTCGCGAGGTTAGCTACTCCGTACAGCATTCGCGCAGCTGGAGGGAATGCGCTTTGCAAGGACTGAAAGTCTCTCTTCCAGCCAAGCTGTCTTCAGACCTCAGGTGCACCCAGCCCGCGAAGCAGAGAGACTCCCCAAGTCAGGGTGAGTGAGAGCGTTTGGGCTTGGGGCTCCCTCATCCGTCCTGTGCGAAGCACCTGTGTCCAGAACTGAGTCAGAAGAGAAGCCGCAGAGAAAGAAGGCCAGGATGTTCTGACCCCAGAGCTATTTAAAATTAGGATGGACTGTTCTGGGGAGTAGTGAGTGCCCTGTCACCAGAGGCATCCAAACAGAGTCTTGCTTCTCCGAGACTTTGCAGAGAGGAAAATGCTGCCTGCAGGCTGGACTATACAACCTCTAATATGAGAGCAGATCGCCTAGGATATGGGCAACCAAGCGTGTCCATAAAACATTACAAGCACAAGGAAATGTGTTGAGAAACGTGACCCACCTGAGTGGGCTGGCGAAGCAGGGAGCCGAACTTACGGAATGGCTCGCATATTTACTTATGAAGTCAGCAAGCTCCTCGTTCGGACGAAGAGCCACGTGCCGTGGGAAGGAAGCACTTATGGAGGAGAGGACTGCAGCCGCTGCTCCTGTCAGCACCACCTCCTGGGGGGGGGGGTGTCACGCTGCCTGATGGTGTCCCTGGACGCCTCCCGCGCAGCCCTGTCCATGGTGGGCATCTGCCCGCGGGCCCCGCGCCCGCCCACGCTGGAGGGAGCCCCTCTGAGCAGGCATTTGCGCACATGCCCTGCCACAAGGCCTTTGTCCGTGGGCTTTGCTCCCCTCCACATATGTGCAGGCTGGTTCCTGATACCTCTCCACGCACTGACCTAGCAAACCAGGAGCCAGATCAGAGCTGCTGACATGAGGGGGCGTGCAGGGTTTT